TTCAAAAAGTTCTAGGATTCCCGCCCTTAAAAAAGTAGTAGTGGCCCCATCACTGCGGAACAAATTACATCACGTAGGAACGATCTCTAGCAATGCCCATACGAAGCTGCAATCGGTTTTGACAAGTTCTATCTTGTAGGCGTTCATTTGCACAAAGAGTCTCAGTGTGTTCGTGTCATCGTACAAACATGGAGCAACGAACAAATATCAAATTTTGTTTTTAAATTTGGCAAATCAGCCACAGAAACGTATGATATGATGGAGACTGCGTATGGTAACGATGCTATGAGTCGTTCGCGAGTGTTTGAGTGGTTCGCGAGATTCAGAAATGGAAGAGAATCAACGGAAGATGACGAGAGATCAGGTCGTCCGCGTTCGAGTCGAAATGATGAAAATGTTGAAAAAGTGACTCCACTGTGACTGGGACATTCTACAGAGACGTTTTGGAACGACTTTTAAAACGAATGCAGTCTGTGAGGCCAAAAGTGTTGGAGATCGGAGAATGGTGGCTGTTGCACGACAATGCACCGGCTCACAAGTCCATAGTTGTACAGGAGTTTTTGACGAAAAGGCAAGTTGTGAGCATCAACCACCCTGCGAACTCACCTGATCTGCCCCCCCCCCAGACTATTTTGTGTTTCCTAAGCTACAATTGAAGATGAAGGGACATCGATATGAGTCAGTAGAGGCAATTGAAAAGACGGTGACAAAGGAACTGAACAGTATTCTAGTGGAGGCGTTCCAGAAGGCGATGATGGACCTGACGACTCGTTTTAAGCGTTGTATCGAATTGGCGGGAGACTATGTAGAAGCTTGATATTAAAGAGGAGTCAATACATGGCGTTGTTTGATCTGTGTGCGACCAGTCCTGGAACTTTTTGAATACACTGTGTATATTTATTTTCGTTATTCGCGATTTTTAATATTGACTTAAAGTGCTCTCTGGCGTTGCTCGGTGCCACAAAGTCCATTATTTTCTAAATCTAATTTTTGTCATTTATAATTTTAGGAATTACGTTAAGTTTCTTCCCATCAATCGTTCCGTGAAAAATTCAACAATATTATAATACTTTTATACAAACATTTTATCTCTGATTTTGTGTAATACCGAGTATTATACAGGGTGTCTGATGCAAAAGTAGCCAACTTGAAAATAGTGGTAGATTGGGTTAAACTAACAATAAGGAGAAATATCATGTGCCGCGGTACAAAAGTAACAATAGTTATCGAGTAATTAATTTACACGTCTGAGCGAATGAGGATGCAGGAGACGGTAGGCCGGACTCGGAAGGCATTTAAGAAAATCGATCGATGAGCGGGAGGTGGAGCGACGCGCGAGATACACCGTGATGGGAAAAAACCTAGGCGCGGCGGGGAGCGCGGCGCGGGCGGCAAGCGCGGCAGCGAGCGCGAGCGACGGGCTACCC